CAGCATCAGGATCGCCTAGAAACAGGTTGTGAATGACATTCTGGACCTCGCTCCAGGCCTGCTGAATCTGAAACTCCAGGGGTGGGCCCACCAATCCACATTTGATCAAACTGCCACAGTGACTCTGGGGCATGTTAATGTTGGAGAAGCCCTGGTCTAAACTAATCATGGCAATTCTGTTCCCTTTGACAACTACTAGGTTAGTCTGCGCAATGGTGCATCCAATGAGGATGGACAGGAAGTCTCCTGGGAGGCTTCTAGGAATGCTTCACCTGACACATAAGGAAAAAATGAGAGAAAATGTACCTGCCCCTCCTGTTTTGGATCGGATACTGTCATGTCCTCATAGGTGTACCTGCCCCTCCTGTTTTAGATCTGGATACTGTCATGTCCTCATAGGACAGATACTCAGAACAGTAGCAGCAACCTTGAGAGCACTAGGTGATGAACACAACCCCCACGTCAACTAGCCAAGGATGGCAGAGGGGAAAGACCAACAGACCTTTCCTTGGTGAGCTGTTAAATGAACTCTAAAATACCACATATCTCCAAACTCCTTGTCAAAGAACGTATTTTTAATTCCCATGCCTTCTGTTAACTTGAAATCCTGACCATAATATCTTTGTTTCCTTAGTCAAGGGAAAAATAAAAAAAATCCATACTCTCATTTTTATAATTTTATGTATTACATATGATTATAATTTTTATTCTATTAGTTTAATTGGAAGCATTCTGAAAAGAAAGAATCTATGCTGTATTAAATCAAAGTTCAAAGAATTTTTAGAATGACATTATTGAAATTATATTGATTTTAGTTCTACTAACTAGTTGTATGACCTTGAACAACTTACTGAATAATAGGCTTCAATTTTCTCATCTACAGAAGGAAAGGGTTAGATTAACTCACCAATGCGATCTTGTTCAGTCTAAAGAGCCACACCTTTAGAAGTAGATGTTGTGATGGGAAGTGAGATACTCAGCAGACTCATAGAATGGCAGATGTCCTAAATAGCACTCTGGCCTCAGAATCAGCCCTAAAGGCACTCGGATCTGGCTGAAAAGCCCATGAGAGTATTTCAGGCATGGAAAGCCAAGACACTCTGGCAAAAAGATCTCTGTGAGTGAGATCCCAGTGGAAAGAACAGGTCTTCAAAGAGGGAGGTGCCTTTCTCTGAAGGGAGGAGAGAACCTCCACTTTGACTATGACCGTGTCTAAACAAGATAAGAGTCGGAGAACTCAAGGGGCTTCCATAGCCTTGGAAACTCATAACTGGTGCATAGGGAGATTACTGATGCCATAAACAGGAGTGTCAATTTGTAAAGTCAACAACAGGAGTCACTGTGCACTTACTCCTCATGTAGGATCTCTGTCCTTAACGTGCTGTACACTGAGGCTTAATGCTATAACGAGTACTCAAACAGTATATTTCACTTTGTGTTTCTATGGGGGTGCAAACGATTGAAATCTTTACTTAATGTACACTAAACTGATCTTCTGTAAAAAAAAAAAAAAAAGAAATTATCAATTCCCAACTTGACTCTCACTGGGATTAAACATGACAATAGGTCTGATCTGATTTCATCATCATTTAAAAAAAATCATCTATTATTTTTCACTTTATGTTTCTGTGTGGGAGCAAACTGTTGAAATACTTACTTAAGGTATACTAAGCTGATCTTCTGTATATTAAGATAATCGAAAATGAATCTTGATGTGAATGGAAGGGGAGAGGGAGTGGGAAAGGGGAGGGTTGTGGGTGGGAGGGACGGTATGGGGGGGGAAGCCATTGTAACACATGAGTCGTACTTTGGAAATTTATATTCATTAAATAAAAGATAAAAAAAAAAAAAAGAAGTAGATGTTGTGGCACCATGTGGGACACCCACATCCTTTATCAGAGTCCCCAAGATCAAGTCCCACCTCCACTTCCGATCCTACTTCCTACTGATGCACACCCTGAGAGGCATCAGGTGATGGCTCAAGTACTTGGGTCCCTGTCTCCCGCACAAGAGACCAGATGGAGTTCCTGGCTCCTGGATAGGATCTGATCCAGCTCTGACTGTTATAGATATTTAAACAGTAAACTAGCTGATGAAAGATCTGTCTGTCCCTCTCTTTGTTGCTTTCTCTTTCAAATAAATAAAAATAAGTAAGTAAACTTTAAAAAGTAAAGAACTACACTCTTAATCTTCTAAGAGCTCCTGAAAAGGTCTTCGTGACAAAAATTCATCTTCCATGAGTTCTATCAATAAGGAATTGTTATATGTGATGCTAACATAGTTTTGCTACATTGCTATGCAACTGACTACCAACAAACATTTCAGGACATTAGTAGTGCCCTACTAAAAGGCTGAAAGCTCAGTGTTCAGCACTGACTCTGCCAACTCCCAATTATTTATACCAGGAAAAGGATGGCATTCTGTAGGTAAACATTCTAATTCCAAGGCCTCAAATTCACTTACTGATTTAACTTCCTATCCATGCAAAAGCCAAAAAGTACAAAATGCAAAGCAACTGATTTGTATTTCTACTGTTCACTAGAATATCAGTTAAAATAATTCAAAGGGAGGGGGCTGGTATTATGGGGCGGTGGATTAACCTACCATCTGCAATGCCGGTATCCCATATTGGTGCTGGTTCAAGACCTGGTACACCACTTTCCTACTAATGCACCTGAGAAAGCAGTAGAAGATGGCCTAAGAGCCTGGGCCCTTGCACTCATGTGGGAGATCCAGATGAAGCTGCTGGCTCCTGGCTTCAGCCTGGCCCAGTCCTGGCCAGGAGGCTATCTGTGGCCATTTGGGGAGTAAACCAGCAGATAGAAGACACTTCTCTCTATCTTTTTCTCCCCTCACCCCCACAACTCTGCCTGTCAAATAAACAAAATAAATCTTTAAAATGAAAAAAAAAAAAAAAAGGGTGGTGGGGTGAGAGGACAGAGCAGACAGGTAAATCCAAAGCTGATTTTCAAAACTACTAGCCTCAGAATTAAAAGTGATTTATAATTATTTTTGGAAAGGCAAAGTTGCCCTCATGCTCTCACTGCAACTAATACTAAAGGCACCAAAAAAAAAACCAAAAAACAAACAAACAAAAAAAAACACAACAACAACAAACCCACACACACATCAGGTGAATTAACAGGTACAGAATATTTTTAAGGTAATACATGTCAAGCCTTCTTCAAAGGATCAGATTCCAGAAACCTTTACAATGGGGGTGGGGGGAGTAAAGCTTCCTTCCATTCAGAGGGTGTTTCCTAGAAAGAAAATACTACTGCATTTTTACCCAAACAAGGGCTACTAACACCTTTAATAACACCTGTGCCAACACAACCACAAAAGACTGACAACTAAATATCAAAACAACATTGTGTTTTTTTTGTAAAACCTGAAATATCAATACAGGCAAAATCCTTTGATAACCAACTTGTACTATAACCACACTTGCTGACTGCTGTGCAACTCTGTTTTCTTTATGCCCAGCTACAGGGCTGACACATGACTGCCAGGCAGTCAACTCATCTGTTCATGCCAGGCTCTATTTCAAAAGGAATTTAGGGCTGCAATGGGGGATTTCACAGGGCAAAGTAAACTGGAAAGATGGAGAAGTGGCATGCATTCTTACCTGTTCTCTTCCTTTCTGTCTAGATTTTGTGATATACTTCATTTTAAAAGCCAGTTAAAGATTGTGCTTAACAGAGATGAGATAGTATCAGAAGCCTAAAAGAAAGACTGCTATTTGATACCAGAACAAAAAAGCATAAACAGAGCACCCACAGCTCAACAGTCAAGTGTTCTGTCCACCTACAGAGCAAATGCAAGGAGTCAAGTTCTTTACTATGGCTGCCCAAAGGAAAGAAACACAGCAATTCCACCTCTGGGAATTTATCCTACAAAAACATTAGAGAAAAAGACAAAGATCTGGGTCAAGAATATTCAGCACAGGACCATATAGAAGGACAGATGATTGATCAAAAACATAGTGCTGTAGCTACCTGAGGGTATACCATTAACTTATGTATTTAATGACATGCAGAGATGTCACCATGTATTGGCAAGTGCAAAAGTAGCCTTCTAGGCAATATGAACTGCAGGATCCCATGCAGAGTCAGCTATATTTATGCACATATAGTTACACATAGGTAAAATGCTAGAATTCCACATAGCCTACTGTGGGGAGATCATGGGTACTTTATATTTCTGCATTTGCTTAGTTGTACAGATGGTTCCCAATTTATAATGGCTCAACTGACAATTTTTTTACTTCACAACTATGCAAGAATGATACGCATTCAGTACAGACTGTACTCCAAATTTTGAATTTTTCTTTTTTCCCAGGCTACCACATGGTACAAGAGTCTCTCACAGTCCTGGGCAGCGCTTGGTCAGCCATACAACCAACAAGGGGAAACCACAAAACTCCACAGTGAAGCATGTTGCCAGCGTTTTCCACTATTGCATTTTGTTTCCCCGTACTGTCTCATCTCCTAAATGTCCATCCGTATGTGTCAGAGATATTTAACACTTTATTAACTGTAGGCTCACATAAATGTTCTGAGCATGTTTAAGGTAAGCGAGGCTAAACTATCATGTTCACTAGGAGAGGTGTAGTAAACATATTTTTCACTTACAATGGGTTTATGATGCCATAAGACATAGCTCCTTCATAGGTCAAGGAGCACGTATAGCCCTCAATTCTGTTTTTCTGTGATATATATATATATATATATATATATATAAAATAACAGGAAAAAATTACTAAAATATTTAATGGGCACAGATACACAAAGTTCTTGATATTTAGAGTTATTCATTGTATAACATTTCTTATAAAAGAAAAAGAATGATTTGCTTTAATAGGTCATTTGGAAACATGAAATAGCTTTGTTACATGGAATTGTTGTTTTTATAGTATTAGAACTAACGGAATTTCACCTATAGAAAATTCTCCATTAAGTACTGAAACGAATGCTATTGAGTAAACAAGATAAACTTACGGCTGAGTGAAGTCACGAGTGATGAAATCAGAACTCTTGAAAAGCAGAAAGATGTCACTGAGGGTTTTACATTTCAGAGAGCTATTCATTGCTATCCAGTATGCATCCTAAAAAAAAAATAAAGCACGTGCTATTTAGTCCCTATTTTCAACTCAGTGGGTATGAATGATGCTCGGGGCTACACACAAAATCAATTATGCTTATTACTTCAACAGTTTAAAGAAAAAAGCCAAGTGACTTTTAGCAATACAGTCAAATGTCAAAGTCCACTTCTCAACAACAAAGACCATCATCACTGTGTGGCAGACACTCATTTGTGAACACTGAGATGTTCGAGTCATCACAGTTCAACCTAGGACCACGCACTTCCCAATGGTTTTCCTATTGATGATGAAAGAAGTGTGAAATGAGGTACCAGACAAATTGCTACTTCAGATGAAGATGGTAAATCAACAGCCTGATCAGCCACTCTCCAAGAAAACAGACATCATTCCTTTCTGCCTGTTTCTGACAAGGAACATCCAAATACCTATACTATGATGGTCAGGGCAATAAAGAGCCATACTGGTCAAATCTGGAAGAAAAGGAAGTGAAATTTTCTGAATCATCACAACTTTAAGTGGTGAATGTCTCATACAAGAACCAAAAAGGGGTGGGTGGGGGGGGACAAAAAAAGGAAGAACAGCAGGCACAAAATTTGAAAAACATACCTGTCTTCTATACAGATCAAACATAAGAAGTAATAAAATTTTGAGGAAACTAATAATTGCAAAAAACAATCCAGGGCTGGTGCGTGGTGCAGAGGGTTAAAGCCCCAGCTTGCAATGCCAGCATCCCATGTAGGCGCTGGTTCGAGTCCAGGCTGCTCCTCTTCTAATCCAGCTCTCTGCTATCTCTGGGATAGCAGTAGAAGATGGCCCAAGTCATTGGACCCTGCACCGATGTGGGAGACCTGGAAGAAGCTCCTGGCTCCTGGCTTCAGATCAGTTCAGCTATGGACGTTGCAGTCATTCGAGGAGTGAATCAGAGGAATGGAAGACCTCTCTCTCTCTCTCTCCCCCTCTCTCACTCTGTAACTCTTTCAAATAAAATAAATTTTTTTTTATTTGACAGGTAGAGATACAGACAGTGAGAGAGAGAGAGAGAGAAAGGTCTTCCTTTCATTGGTTCACTTCCCAAATGGCCGCTACAGCCAGCGCTGTGCTGATCCGAAGCCAGTGCAGGTGCTTCTCCTGGTCTCCCATGCGGGTGCAGGGCCCAAGCACTTGGGCCATCCTCCACTGCCCTCCAGGGCCACAGCAGAGAGCTGGACTGGAAGAGGAGCAACTGGGACTAGAACCTGGTGCCCATATGGGATGCTGGCACCACAGGCGGAGGATTAACCAAGTGAGCCACGGCGCCGGACCCTCAATTAAAATAATTCTTAAAAAAAAAAATCCAATTGTCCACATTACATGGAAGAAAATACTAGGCATATAGTAGGCAGTCAAGAAGTAACAAATAAATGAACAAATGAATAACACACCTACCATCTTCAGCAAAAAGCCTCAACCAAGCTCAGCAGCAAGGAATGATTTAAAGTATTGCTCGTAAGAGAGGAGGGAACTTCTACTTTGATTATGGCCTTGTCTAAATAAGATCAGAGTCTGTGAACCCAAGTGCTTTGGCCCTGAACTCACATGGGAGACCAGGAGGAGGCACCTGGCTCCTGGCTAAGGATCAGTGCAGTGCACCGGCCGCAGTAGCCATTGGAGGGTGAACCAACAGTAAAGGAAGACCTTTCTCTCTGTCTCTCTCTCACTGTCCACTCTGTCAAAAAAAAAAAAAAAAAAAAAAAGCCTCAGGTGATTATTGACGTCATAAATAAGAGGGTCAATTCTTAAATCAACAACAGGTGTCACTGTGCACTTACTCCCCATGTGGGATCTCTGTCCTTAATGTGTTGTACTATGAGAATTAATAGTAAAACTACTCTTCAAACAGTATTTTATACTTTGTGTGTCTGTGTGGGCACAAACTGTTGAAATCTTTACTTAGTATATACTAAGTTGATCTTCTGTATATAAAGATAATTAAAAATGAATCTTAATGAAGAATGGATGGGAGAGGGAGTAGGAGATGGAATGGTTTGCAGATGGGAGGGTGGTTATGGGGGAAATACTGCTACAATGCAAAGGTTGTACTTTTTTTTTTTTTTTTTTTTTTTTTTTTTTTTTTTTGACAGGCAGAGTGGACAGTGAGAGAGAGAGACAGAGAGAAAGGTCTTCCTTTTGCCGTTGGTTCACCCTCCAATGGCCGCCGCTGCAGCCGGCGCACCGCGCTGATCCTGGCAGGAGCCAGGAGCCAGGAGCCAGGTGCTTTTCCTGGTCTCCCATGGGGTGCAGGGCCCAAGCACCTGGGCCATCCTCCACTGCACTCCCTGGCCACAGCAGAGAGCTGGCCTGGAAGAGGGGCGACCGGGACAGAATCCGGCGCCCCAACCGGGACTAGAACCCGGTGTGCCGGCGCCGCAAGGTGGAGGATTAGCCTATTGAGCCACGGCGCCGGCTGAAGGTTGTACTTTCAAAATTTATATTTATTAAGTAAAAGGTTTCTAAAAAAATAAAGTATTGCTCATATGCAGATGAAAGTTGACTATGAGAAACTAAAATTGAATTTAATAACTTACTTATAACTTTAAAATAACTTCTAAAATAATTTTTTTTTTTTTGACAGGCAGAGTAGACAGTGAGAGAGAGAGAAACAGGGAGATTCTCCTGGTCTCCCATTCGGATGCAGGGCCCAAGCACTTGGGCCATCCTCCACTGCACTCCCGGGCCATAACAGAGAGCTGGCCTGGAAGCGGGGCAGCTGGGACAGAATCTGGCGCCCCGATTGGGCCTAGAACCCGGTGTGCCGGCACTGCAGGCGGAGGATTAGCCTATTGAGCTGCGGCGCCGGCCCTAAAATAATTTCTTTTAAGAAAAATACCCGAATGACTCCCAAGCTAGAGTGTATTTTTAAATATATCTTTTTTTTAAACTGACACTTAGTAATTGTATGTATTTATGGGGACCAGAGTAGCATTTCAATATATAAGTATACAGTGTGTAAAGCTCAGATCGGGGTAACTGGTACATCTATGAACCTCAGACAGGTATCACTGCTTTGAGGTAAGGTACCATAACTTTTTCATAATTTTTTCCAATAAAAGGAATGATGAACCCCTTGTTAAAGATAGTATATTGAATATTCACATTTAACTCTTTTGAAACAACATGTTTGCCTAGCAAACCATGCAGCTGAATAAACAAGGCTATTATTAACACCAGGGAAAACAAACTGTTGAGTAAGAAAACATAAATAATCACAGTACAGGCCCTATCATGTGTGCACACAGTGTTTGCATAATCCCAGTAACTGGAAACACTATTGATCTAACCAGAGTTCAGGAAGGCCTATAATAAGGATAGTGGAATAGAAAGTAAAGGCGATAAGAAAGGAAAGAGGGCGGAATACGTGTTTCCAAGTAGCAATTCAATAATAAATAAAACCTAAAACTAAGAAATAAAGCAAATAGCAAAAACAATGTAGTAAAGTATATTTGAAAGCAGTATCTCGGGGGAGTAAGAAATGGTAAGGAAAAACAGGTGTTGGGATGTGCTGATTTTTGTAGCAAGCTTTCAGATTCATTTGAAATTTCAGACTATGTGCATATAAAACATTTTGAAAATTAACAATATATCAGATTAAAGACAAGTTATCACTTGTTTTAGAATAAAAAAGAGAGGCACAGGGTATGATTTTTGAAAATGAAAATAAGTCTGACCACTTAAATAGTTTTGCTGACATAACATCATTTTCTATTGGGTTATAAGAAATAGAAAATTTTTCCATAGGCCTTAACTCTTAAAAAATCCTGTCAGTGCCATATTAAAAAATAAGACACAATTTAAAAATATAGTTGATTTCTCAAACTGCTCTATTTCTACATTCTGTGGCATTTTTATTTTTCTTACTTGTCAGTACAAAAAAACTTCCCTGCTAAACCACACAGCTCAAGTTTTGAGGAGGACCGAGAGTGAACTTCCTTAGAATTCTAACAAATCAGCAACATAAAAGGCTGAAACCATCTTTTGACAGAATACATACCACCCTGCAGGACCCAGGAATAGAGATGGCAAAAGCAGGAGAAATAAAACAGGAAAATCATCATAAATTCCACAGTATTTTTCCTAGAATGAGGACTACAATTAGACTCTCCAGGGATATAAAATGAAACGCATAGCCCAGTAAAGAATATTCAAACAGTAAGAGCTTTATGTATATGTTCCTACCCTTGGGGCACTCCAGTTAAGCTTAGGAAAGACACTGCCCCCCAGAGAATTGATAGCTTCCTGGACTGTTGTGTTGAACTCGGGAAATTCTGGTGCCTACAGAGAGAAAGAAGAAATCACTTGGGTAAGACAATACCATTACAGCAAATACGAAAAACAGATAAAAATCTCAAGGTTATAGTTTAGAGTGTTAAAATTAGAATTCACAATACAAATTACTCAGAATTTTTGAACTCAAGTAAAGTCAGTGATCAAATAACATTTAGAAGGAAGAGAAATAAAAGCACTGAAATGGCACTTTCTAAACAATGAAAACCATAAAGTTAAAGACAGATGTCACTGAGCATCTGGCTATGTGAAGAAGGAATGAATGGTTCTACGTACCCCTACATTAAACTACTGATCTTTATCTTTAGCAGGGAGGGATTTTAAAATTTTGTTAATTTATTTACTTCAGAGACACACAGAGCTTTCATTGGCTGGTTCACTCTCCAAATGTCTGTAACAGTCTGAGTTGGGCTTCGCCAAAACCCACTGACTGCCAAAGCAAGGAACTCCATCTAGATCTTCCACACAGGTGGCAGGAACCCAAGCAGCTGGGCCATCACCTGCTGCCTCCTAAGGTCTAGATTAGCAGGAATCTGGAATCAGGAATCAGAGCTGTGTCTCACTGAATGCCAAGGGAGTCCAGTGTGAGATGCAGGTGTCTTCACCTCCACCTTAACTGCCAGGCCAAATACCTACCCTAAAACCAGTGTTTATTAGTGAAAAGAGACAGAATATTCCTTGTACATGGATTCTGGTTCTCAGAATAACCCTCCACTTACAGGACCACAGCTACTCTTGTAGCAAGGGTCTTGGAGATATCCCCTAAAGGCTTCATGAGGGTGAAAAAGAAACTATTCAATCACTTGTATTTCTAGATAAGTTTTAATATTAACAAAATTCAAAAACAGGCCTTTGGCTAATTTAAATGCTTTGTCTAGGGCAGGTATTTGGCATAGTGGCTAAGAAGCCACCCACATCCAGTGCCTGGGTTCGAGTCTCCACTCTACTTCCCATCCAGGTTCCTGCTAATACACACCTAAGAAGCAGCAGATGATGGCTCAATTTCTTGGGTCTCTGTCACCCACATGGGAGACATGGACTGAGTTTCAGACTCCTGGATTTGGCCTGGCCCAGTCCTGGTTGGTTGCAGGCATTTGGGGAGTGAACCAGAGGATGGAAAAATCTATCTCTCTTTCAAATAAAAACAAAAAATTTTAAATGTTATTTCCATTTTGGTTTACTTCAAATGCGTATTTCATCCAGGCAAGTGACTGAAACAGGAGATGTGTTTGCTTCAAGCTGGAAGTAACAGAAATATTGTTGTTGAATAAGGAACTTCAGCTTGACGGCCATTATGCCCTGGCTGGAGCTTTATGTCACTAAGGAGCTGTGGACATAAGCAAAAGGCTCCAAAGTGGAGCCTTTGGGACACAAAACACAGATGATGCATGTAGTTTGTTCCCAGCTTCTGCTACAAAGGGGACTGCTGCCCTCTACTGGGCAACTGCAAGTTCTGAAAGAAAATCTAGTAATCAGCTTCTTCTATAGGGCGGAAAAAAGTTAGACTAGGTCTAGAATTAACTAAAGCACACATTCCAAAAATTAATCAAGCGGTTTATGCAGATCCTCAAGATCTAATCCAGTTATGATACAGAAAAAAAGCTGTGACATGAGTCAGGAAAACACATCAAAGAATTAAGAGTTAAAAAATGATAGTCCATTCTCCAAACTGGAAACAGCTTTAAGCAAAAGGCTGTGAGTAAAGAGAGAGCAGAAGTCTCATTAGGTGAGCTTTTCTGATCACAGTTTAAGTCTAGCCTCTAAGCTGGTTAAATCTTTTAATCAGTTCATAGCCTGCCACCATATCTTCCATTAAACTACTTCTACAGCTTACATACAAGAAATTACATTAGAATAACTTAGAGAGGCTTTCAACATGAATAAGAGTATTAAGAATCCCTTATTTTCCATGCCCCTCTCCTCATCAAAGGAATAATGATTGACGTTTAGGCCAATAATTTCCTTATAATCACCTAGAGCTGCTGATTTGGCTGCTCTGGAGCTCCAGCCATAAAAACCACTTATCCAAGATGCATCAGCAAGTTTCTATAAATGGCATCATTACACAAATTTTACAACATGAAGGGATTTAACCTTCAAAGACAGAACATGTTAATTTTCCTATCCCATGAAACTTGACTTGTAAGGACTGCTCTGTATTTATGTGCTGCATTTTAAAACATGTGATCCACCCCCTGAAATCCTCAAAATTATGCAACTTTAGAAAATCCTTTCCATTAAGGCTCCCCGAACAAAGGAGAGTTACAAAAGTTTACCTATTGTCTTCAGGGAAAGCTGGGGTGGGGAGTCCTTCAAAAAATTCACAGAAAATGCATACTTATTAAAAAACTAAGCATGGATTTCAAACATTTTGCATGAAAAAGGAACTTTTAATGCAATTTTCTCCACAAACTTGTTGAAGTCTCTGTTTTATCCACATACAGCAAACTATCCAGGGCTATCTGACTCCACCAGCTCTGTGAGCCACTTCATAACTGCAGGTGCGTGACAGCAATGTAAACTAATTTTTTTTTAAAAGAATTACTTATTTACGTGAGAGGCAGAGTTACAAGAGAAGGAGACAGAGAGGAAGGTCTTCCATCAGCTGGTTCACTCCCCCAAATGGCCGCAATGGCTGGAGCTGGACTGATCCAAGCCAGGAATCAGGAGCTTCTTCCAGGTCTCCCACATGGGTGCAGGGATCCAAGGACCTGGGCCATCTTTGACTGCTTTCCCAGGCCATAGCAGAGAGCCGGATTGGAAGTGGAGCAGCTGGGACTCGAACCAGTGTCCAAATGGGATGTCGGCACCAAAAGCAGAAGCTTAGCACACCAGACCACAGAAACGGCCCTGTAAACTAATTCTTATGGGCATGCAATTTCTATGCCTTCTGGAAATCCAACCGTTTTCTCTCCCATTCAACAGGTTTTGCCTCATTTACACATTCATTTCAACATTCCTGATTTATGAACATCTTTCCTTTAGATTCTCGTTTGAATCGGTTCTAACAAATCATTAACATGTGTTAAAGAGTTTTATAAATGTATGGGAGTCATGATTTTACCATTTTATGAGACTTCTCTACGAACAGATTTAACTAATAAGATTCTTTTAAGCTCATTGCTCAACTTGTTAATTTTAAATATGCATAACACCTCACTTGTCTGGGGGAAAAGTTTCCACTGCAAGTAAGATAAAACCCACATTTATCTATTATCTGTGGACCTGCTGTTATCTGTATTCACCTAGCCATCTTCCCAGTCTCACCTACCACAGCGCCCCTGTACCACCCCATTCAGAAATGATAGGTCTCTTTTGCTGTTCAATTTTTTTTTAGAATTATGAAATTTTGGCCGGCGCTGCGGCTCACTTGGCTAGTCCTCCACCTGTGGCACTTGCACCCCAGGTTCTAGTCCCGGTTGGGGCACCGGATTCTGTCCCGGTTGTTCCTCTTCCAGTCCAGCTCTCTGCTGTGGCCCGGGAGGGCAGTGGAGGATGGCCCAAGTGCTTGGGCCCTGCACCCTCATGGGAGACCAGGAGGAAGCACCTGGCTCCTGGCTTCAGATCAGCACAGCGTGTCGGCCGTGACAGCCATCTGGGGAGTGAACCAACAAAAGGAAGACCGTTCTCTCTGTCTCTCTCTCTCCCACTGTCTAACTCTGCCTGTCCAAAAAAAAAAAAAATGTTTTACAACACACAAAAAAATACAGACCCTTGTTCCTGGTCCAAACATTTAACTATTTGGTCTACACCTGTATATTTCTAAGGGAAAAACACCACAGATGGACAAAAGATCCTTATCTTCTTGCTCTCCTCCCTGGCCTTTCCCTCTCTTCCCACAGGTTCCCATCATTACAAAGCTGGGGTGTGTTCATCTATATTCATGACTCTATACCTATGACAGAAGTGCCTGGCCATAACACCCGCCTTCAAGAGCGGGGCTTTGGCAAAGCAGGTAAAGCCGCTGCCTGCAATGCCGGCATCTCGTATGGGCACCAGTTCAAGACCTGGCTGCTCCTCTTCCATTCCAGCTCTCTGCTATGGCCTGGGAAAGCAGCAGAGGACGGCCCAAGTCTTCGGGCCCCTGTACCTGCATGGGGGATCTCGAAGAGGCTCCTGGCTTCAGACTGGCCCAGCACTGGCCATTGCAGACATTTGGCGAGTAAACCAGCGGGCAGAAGACCTCTCTCTCTTTCTACTTTTCAAATAAATAAATAAATCTTTAATAAATAAAAAAAAAGGCCTTCAAACAATTTAACAGCCATTTGCTATGCATTCTTTCAACAACTTTCCTTTTTAACTTCATCATTAGACTTTTAAAAACTTGATTTTTTTTTTCCCCTCACTTTTGATAGACTGCTTTTACACCTACACTCATGTACAATATGCCATTCACCAATACCTTGCTTTTTCCCACCCTAAGCCCTGGTTCCTTATTTCTCTCTACAATGAAGGCTCATTCCCTGCTTGACTTCACCCAATGGAACCAAGTCTCTTCAAATTGACAGTTTTTAAAATAACTTCAGACTTTCAGAAACATTAAGAGAACCATGCATATCTAAATACTCTTCCCCAAACTGTCCATTTTATATTTGCTTTATCACTCTCCCTACCAACTTTCCTCTCTACCTGTGTGTTTCTATTTGTTTATATACTTTTTCTTTCCTACACTACTATAAAGTAAGTTGCCCATTCATCCCTAAATACTTCACGGTATATTTCCTCACAAGTCATTTTAACATTCTCTCTTATAACGTGGCAAAACAATCAAAATCAGGGAACTAACAGTGATACGATGCCATTATCCAATCCACAGATCTTATTCACAGTTTACCGAGGGTCCTTTTAATGTCTTTATAGAAAAAGAGAAGGCAAAACTTTCTCTGGTTCAGGATCCATTCTAGAATCATGCACTACATTTAGCTGTCATGTTTCTTTCATCTCCTTTAAATCCGTAACAGTTCCTTTCTCTGTGGTTCGTAATGTTCCTGACTTTGATATTTTTGAAGAACACAGGGCAGTTATGGACATTGTCGCTCCCCGTCTTCGTGGAGGAGCGACACTGGACCCTGCGTTGTTCTTTTGTCTGCTCAGCCCTCCCCGGGTTGGCTGCTGGTCCTTCCCGGGTTGGCTACCGTCCCTTCCACCTCCGTGGAAGGGCGGTTCCCCCTGGCACATTCCCCACTTCCGCGGGGGAGCGGCACACCGCCGGCCGGCTCTCTCGGGGGCTGCACAGGTGTTCCTCTTAGATGTTCCCCTTAGATGTTCCTGGTGCATGTTGTCTCTCTCCTCCTTTATAGTCCTCTTCCACCAATCCCAACTCTGCTACCCACACGCCGAGTACGCTGCTCTCCTCCAATCAGGAGCAGGTCCTACAGTTTATTGGTTGAACTGGAGGCAGCTGTGTAGAAGCTGTTTCTCCCTTCTCAGCGCCATATTGTGGGAGAGCAGATGCATAGAATAAGTCTTAATTCCAGTAACTTAGTCTAGTCTGAGTTGCTCCCCACAGATCCCCCTTTCTTTTTATTTTTGGCGTTGATACGCGCCTGTCTTCGGTGCCCCATGGCACACACTCTGCTCTGCTTGCTGGAGTTGCCCACAGGTGCTTACAAGTCCTATCAATCAGGCAAACCGAATCCGGGTCCTCTCTTCGCCATGTTGTGAGGAGGTTTTTAGGCGCTGATGCGTGCCTGAGTTCGGTGCCCTGCAGCGCATGCTCGGCTCTGCTAGAACTGCATGCAGGTGCTTACAAGCCTATCAGGCAAACCAAATCCAAGCCCTCTCGTTGCCATATTGTGGGGAGACTTATTAGTGTTGGTTCGTGCCTATCTTCGGTGACCTGCAGCTCATACTCTGGTCGAGCTGCCTGCTGGTGCTTATCGCCTTACTAATCAGGCAGACCGAATCCAAGCCTTCTCATTGCGGTATTGTGGGGAGACTTATTGATGTTAATTTGTGCCTGTCTTCGGTGACCTGCGGCGCATAAGCTGCTAGCCGCCCACAGGTGCTCACCACCTCCCTAACATTTTTCTCTACCCGGTATGTTTCCCTAAGTTTTCTTCCAACAATATTCCTCCCTCATTTCTCCTGGCCTCTCCCCACAGTCCGTATCCAAGTCTAAGTTTCTTATAGGTTTCACTTTCACTTTCAACCTGCAGTCCGTATCTGAGTCTAAGTTTCTTCTTGCTTTCACTTTAAATCCTAACTTCTTTCCCACAGTCCGTATCCGAGTCTATGCCTAGGCTTTCGATAGCTTCTTCCGGCACCTTTTCTGTCCGGCTTTTCCCTAGGCTCTTTGCTAATCTCTCTCCGGTAATTTCCCACTTCTTCCCGTTTCTTCCCTCCTAGGTTTCCTATCCGAGTCACGGCACCATTATGTTGCTCCCCCTCTTCGTGGAGGAACGACACTAAACCCTGCCTAGGCTTCATATCTGAGTCACGGCACCATTATGTCGCTCCCCCTCTTCGTGGAAGAGCGACACTGGACCCTGCGTTGTTCTTTTGTCTGCTCGGCCCTCCCCGGGTTTGCTGCTGGTTCTTCCCGGGCTGGCTGCTGGTCCTTCCCGGGTTGGCTGCTGGTCCTTCCCGGGTTGGCTACCGTCCCTTCCACCTCCGTGGAAGGGCGGTTCCCCCTGGCACATTCCCCACTTCCGTGGGGGAGCGGCACACCGCCGGCCGGCTCTCTCGGGGGCTGCACAGGTGTTCCTCTTAGATGTTCCCCTTAGATGTTCCTGGTGCATGTTGTCTCTCTCCTCCTTTATAGTCCTCTTCCGCCAATCCCAACTCTGCTACCCACACGCCGAGTACGCTGCTCTCCTCCAATCAGGAGCAGGTCCTGCTGTTTATTGGTTGAACTGGAGGCAGCTGTGTAGAAGCTGTTTCTTCTCCCTTCTCAGCGCCATATTGTGGGAGAGCAGATGAATAAGTCTTAATTCCAGTAACTTAGTCTAGTCCGAGTTGCTCCCCACAGACATAACCCTTAGAAGTAGAGTTTGTTGGCTGGTTCTCATTATTAATTTCAGGCTATGCAGGTTAGGTTATTCAGTGGCAGGCGATGTGCCCATCCCATGCACCTTTGCTGGAAGCACCTGAAGCTAGAATCGGCAGCAGAACTGGAAATTGAACCCAAGCAATCCAATATGGGATATGGGCATCTTAACCAGCATTGTTATTGTCGGGCCAAATGCCTGCCCCAGTTTTAACATATATGCAATCAATTATTACTTTAATGGTTGCCAGATGCTGATTTTTTTTATTTTTTTATTTTTAGAGATTTTATTTATTTATTTGCGAGTCAGAGTTACAGACAGAGAGAAAGGTCTTCCACCTGCTGGTTTACTCCCCAGATGGTCACAATGGCCAGAGCACAGCCCATCCAAAGCCAGGAGCCAGGAGCTTCCTCCAGGTCTCCCATGCAGTTGCAGGGGCCCAAGTACTTGGGCCATCTTCCACTGCCTTCCCAGACCATAAGCAGAGAGCTGGACTGGAAGATGAGCAGCTGGGACACAAACCAGCGCCCCTATGCGATGCCAGCGCAGCAGGCTGAGGCTAAACCCACTATGCCACAGTGCCGGCCCCCAGATGCTGATTTCTAACTCCATCATTCCTTCTACACTAGACAGTGCTTTTGAGAACTGAAGAAAGGCTTTCCCTTCTCCCCCACTGCTTTAATCACTATTTATGTCAGCATGGGATCTTGGATTCTTACTCAATGGGTTATGATTACATTATTATTTATAATGCTTTTGCTAGTGGAACCCTTTCAAGTTGGTTTCTGGGTCTTGTGGTCATGTCTCTGTTATTCTTTGAACATTCCCTTAGTTCCTGGCACAACAAGCTACTACAGGATCATTTTGGTTTCCTAACCCCTGTTCTGAATTTCTCCAAGAAGCTTTGATTCTTTTTAGTGAGAATGGTATTTTAGAAATCAAGTTGTAAACCTTCTTAGTGAACAGTTTGGTAGAAAGAGACAAGGACATAGACATGTGCATACTGCTGTGTTTGAGACATCTGGTCTCTCTCCAAAATTCATGTTGAAACTTAGTCTCCGTTGGGGTCGTATTAAGAGGCGGCGCCTCGGGGAATTAAGGGATTAAGTCCTGAGGTTCTGTTCTCCTAGAAGAGACTTCAGAGAGCTGCTGGCCCTTACACGTCTTCTCCCCTTCCCCACATGACCACAAAGCAACATGGCGCCTTCCTGCACACGGGGAGCAAGTCTTCAGAGGGCACTGAATCTGCGGATCTTGGATTTCCCAGCCTCCTGAACTGCAGAAAATCAATATTATTAAAAAATTTCCCAGATGAAGGCATTTTATTATAGCAGCAGGAACAGTCTTAGACCCCTATATACTTTCGTATCACTAATTTCTGAATCCACTTGTACACATTTAAAGACATGAGTTGAAAGTGATAATCCTCAGCACTCTTCAGATCCAGGTCAAATATTGCTTCTCCTGTAAGCAGTTCTAGATACCCTCACTTATAATTGTTCTGTCAGCTCTGTCACCCACCCCCAACCTGTGTCTTACTGGTTTCAAACTCCCTGATGGCAGGAATCAAATCATACTCATCTTTGTTTCCTCATAGAACCCCTACAGTGTCCTGAGTACAGCAGATACTATTTATATTAGGTTGAATAGAATTTTCATAAAAGGAGAGTAAACCACATAATATCCACAGCTAATTAAACATCCTAATGTTCCACTTCTGCATCTGTTGGCATGTTTAACTTTTTTCCTAGGGAAATAATGTGGGTTTTAGAGATCTTTACTTTTTCCCTGTACTCTAGAAAGCACATCTCATTCATTAAAATAAACAAATATCGGGCCGGCGCTGTGGCTCATTTGGTTAATCCTCTGCCTGCGGTGCCAGCATCCCATATGGGGGCCGGGTTCTAGTCCCGGTTGCTCCTCTTCCAATCCAGCTCTCTGCTGTGGCCCAGGAAGGCAGTGGAGGATGGCCCAAGTGCTTGGGCCCCTGCACCCGCAAGGGAGACCAGAAGGAAGCACCTGGCTCCTGGCTTCGGATCGGCGTAGTTCTGGCCGTGGCAGCTATTTAGGGGGTGAACCAACGGAAGGAGGACCTTTCTCTCAGACTCTCTCTCACACTGTCTATCTGTCAAATAAATTTAAAAAATAAATAAATAATATCTTACTTAGAGTTATATTAGAATATACTCTCCCTTAAAACTCATTTTCCTCTTTCTGCCTTTACATTTACTTGGAAGGAATTTTTTAAGAACAAAAAAGTCTTATCACATCTTAAGGTTTGAAGAGCTTTCATTTGTGTTGAGACATACATTGTTCAATTTACTCATCCCTTTAAGAATTTATTAAAAACTATTTAAGTTGAATTTCACAAAAATAGTGAAAGACAATAATACACTATTTTAAATGCAATATTGGTTAAAGTCACATACTTCTCTATTATATCAATTAAACATACATGAATAAGTGAATACAGACTTTTCACTTCAGTTTAGATGCACAGATCTGGGGACCTCAGAGTTTAATGTTAGGCTTGATTTCTTCTTTCAGAGCTTCAGGGAAACAAGTCAAAGCAGCAAAAATGCACTCAGATATTTCCTTTCTAACCAAGGAGGGGGAAAAGGCAAAGCCATTTGAAGTGGCGAATACAGGGGAGTTCAGAGCAGTATGCAGTGAAACCTAGAGGCTAGCCCTACACAACAGTGAGCTGCCGTCCCCACCACGGCACTGCCTTGTTCTTACCGTAAGGGTGGCTGTGTTCTCATCATCGGACCACTGAAGGGAAGAGAGAACAGAAACAAAACATTAAATTCTGTGCTGGGCTTCCATCTCAAAATCGTACACACAGAGGAAACGTTTTTTTCCTGAACACAAATTATATGTAACAAATATATGACACAGAGATTTTTCACATGTCTGCCCACCTTGATGACCCTAAGAACTAAATGTCAGGATCATTTCAGAGATCATGTATACTAGAACACTCTACAGAACAGACTGTCTTCTACCAACCTGGATTTCTTCAGCTTCATCATCACTGTCTGGCTGAGAGTGTGCTGGTGGATCTTCTCTAAAGAACAAAAAACAAAAACATAAAACAAAAATTTAGCAGAAAAAAAAAGACTTTGAAATCATGCAGTCACAGATGTACTAAGTATATTAAAAAAAAAAAAAAAAAAAAAAAGCAAGGGTTGGCACTGTGGTGTAGTTAAGCTGCCACCTGCAACGCCAGCATCCCATATGGGTGTCAGTTAGAGTCCTGGCTGCTCCACTTTCAATCCAGCTCCCTGCTAAGGCACCTGGGAGAGCAGTGGAAGACGGCCCAAGTCCTTGGGCCCCTGCCAACCACGTGGGAGACTCAGAGGAAGCTCTTGGCTCCTGACTTCAGCCTAGCCAAGACCCTGCCATTGTAGCCATTTGGGGAGCAAACCAGCAGATGGAAAACCTCTCTCTCTGTATCTCTGCTTTTCAAATAAAGAAAATAAATCTTAAAAACAAATAAATCTTAAAATTTTAGAACAATACAAGGAAAAGCTCATTTCTGGAGACGGAAACTAATTAAAAACACACACACACACGGAACTAATTAGAGTATACTTCCAGTAAGAGACAGCAGAATAAAAACCTTCTGCCTCTTCATGGAAATCACTAAAAGCAATGGAAAGAAAAACTCCAACTTTATCTCTGATAATATTAAGCTTCATCTCTGACTTTGAAGCCCCAAATATGACAAAGAGCTGCCAAAGACAGAGACGATCTAACAGGGTGAAGGAAGACACCGAAAGGAAACCTCGGCACAGCTGTCTACACAGCTGATGGAACACCCCTGGGAAGCAAAATCAAAAAGCTGCTCTTTACACAATGAAAACAGAGTACGTGGGCTGCTGTCAGGAACTACTCTGGGTCTAGACTGGGCCATCTAAAAGGGTGGGAGAGAGAGAGAACAACGCACTCAAGCACACTATTTGTGAAGAGGCCAGTAAGCAAAGCAGGGTGTTGAAAAGGCCCATCCCATCCGTCAGGCATTTGGCCTAACAGTTAAGATGCAGACTGGGCTCAATACCCGGCTCTGGCTCATGACTCTAGCTGCTCACAAAAGCAGACCTGGGGAAACAGAAGGTTACGGTTTAGGTAACTGTGTTCCTGCCACACCTACACAGGAGATCTAGAAGGAATTTCCAGCTCCCAACTTCAGTCTAGCACAGTCCTGGCCATTACAGGCACTTGGAATGAATGGGAGCTCTCTCTCCATCTCTCAAATAGACAAGTAACATTTTATTTATTTATTTATTTATTTAATTTATTTGAAAGAGTTACACAGAGAGAAGAGAGGCAGAGAGAGAGAGAGAGAAAGAGAGGTCTTCCATCCAATGGTTCACTCCCCAGGTGGCCGCATCTGAAGCCTGGAACCAGGAGCTTCTTCTGGGTCGCCCATGCAGATGCAGGGGCCTAAGGACTTGGGCCATCTTCTACTGCTTTCCCAGGCCATAGCAGAGAGCTGGATCGGAAGTGGAGCAGCCGGGTCTCGAACCAGCGCCCATACGGGATGCCGGCACTTCAGGCCAGGGCATTACCCACTGTGCCACAGCGCCGGCCCCTATTTTTTTTTTTTAAGTTTTTGGAAATTACTACTTTTTTAAAGATTTATTGATTGATTGGATTTGAGGTCAGGGTTACAGAGAGGGAGAGACACAGAAAGACATAAATCTCCCATCAGCTAGTTCACTCCCTATACAATCACAGTGGCCAGGGATAGGCCAAGCCATAGCCAGGAGCTTCTTCCAGATCTCCCACATGAGTGGCACAACACAGGTAGTTGGGTCATCTCATGTTGCTTTTCCCAGGCCATTAGCAAGGAGCTGGATCAGAAATTGAGCAGCCATTAGAGAGATCTTCCATCTGCTGGTTCATTCCCCAAATTGCCACAACAGCTGAAGCTGGGTCAAGCTGAAGCCAGGAGCTTCTTCTGGGTCTCCTATGTGGGTGTAGGGGCCCAAGCACACAGGGCATCTTCTGCTTCTTTTGCAGGCACATTCGCAGGGAGCTGAATCAGAAGTGGAACAGCTGGGACTCGAATCCAACACCCACATGGGATGCTGGTGCTGTAGGCAGCAGCTTTACCCACTATACCACACCACCACCACTCCCAATAGAATTTTAAAAAGAAAGAAAATTTAGATTTTAAAAATGGGGGACAGGTGGAGAGGAGGGGACCAGTAGTGAATCTTCACTGCCTAGGAGGAAACAAAGACTCAGAGAACCCAGAGAGAATAATCAGAACACTGCCCTGGCAAATAACCATCCTAGGAAGAACTCACATCACTGGATGGAAAAAATCAAAATAAGAACTGGGTGTGGACAGCTGGCCTTGAGTTAAGATGGCCGTGTCTCATACTGGAGGGCCTGACCCCCATTTCCTGCTAATGAGGATCCTGGCAGGCAGTGGTGATGGCTCAAGTAGTTCTTCTAACCTCACTGGTAAGCAGGTTGATTTTCTAGAAAAAAATGGACTTGCAGAGGTTAAGTCCTTGGGATCTTTCCTGTTATTGTAGGAGAGTTTAAGAAGTCAGACACATAATGACCCCCAAAGAATATGGAATCATGTGAAAGCCACAATGAACAGTGAAAGTCCTAGCCCCTTCCTTCCTCCCACCCTGCTCCTGGAAGGTACAGGATTCTTCTGTTTGGGAACTGAACCATCCCATAGGTAAGACCTACAGATACCGTCCGCTGAGAATCCTCCATCAACACTTGCTTACTACAACCCCAGTCAACAGCATGTATACAACTTTGCAAATGCGTGTGTGTGTGTGTATGCATTCCCCTCACTCTCAATTACAAGTGAAGACCAAGAAACATAAGCAAACTCAACAAGTCTCCAAGATGAAACAAAGCTTTTGAAAAACAAAAAGAAAAAAAAGATAGGAGAAAGAAAAAAAGCCAATAAAAGGACCAGATGAAAACATTTTTAGAAACCATTAATATCCTAAAACATAAAAAAGAGACAGCATCCATGAAAGAAGAGACTGTAAAGAAACAGGAAAAGATTTAACTTGTACAAACTGAAAACATGACAGATGAAATTTAAAACTTCCATAGAATGAATAAGGAAAACAAATCAAAATTACCCAGAAAGTAGAACAAGAAGACTAAGAGATAGAAAACAGAGAAGAAATGAACAAATTCAGAGAATTAATGTAACATTAATATAATTACATAATTATAATTAACTCAATAGGAGTTCTAGAAAGAGAAACAATAAAAGAATATTATATTTTTTATCCCCAAACCGGAAAATACTAGTTTCTATAACAAAAGGGGTCATCAAGTACCCTGTACAATGAGTGAAAAGAATAAAACAAAACACCTTAGATGTGCAAAAGATGACACAGCAATCCTTTTCATCTCTCCAGACACGCCACTCGAAGGGTGACTTTGCCACTCACTCTGCCCATCAGGAAATAGCATGTATTTTCCCACCCTGCACTTTAGACTGTCTTCAAGACTCACTCTGGCCAACAGGAGGTAGCCCAACTGACACTACGTCTCAGAACCTAGCGTCAAGGACTCAGAGCTTCCACTCTCAGCCTGATATGCTGCCACTGCTCTGTAAAGAAGCTAAGGCTAGGGGCCGGCGCTGTGGCGCAGCAGGGAAAGCCACCGCCTGCAGTGCTGGCATCCCGTATGGGCACAGTTCGAGTCCCAGCTGCTCCGCATCCGACCTAGATCTCTGCTATGTCCTGGGAAAGCAGAAGAAGATGGCCCAAGTCCTTGGCCCCTACACCTGCGTGGGAGACCCAAAAGAAGCTCCTGATTCCTGGCTTCGAATGACACAGCTCCAGCCATTGTGGCCGTCTGGGGAGTGAACCAGCAGGGTCAAAGACCTCTCTCTCTCTTCTCTTTCTCTCTCTGCCTCTGCCTCTCTGTAACTCTGCTTTTCAAATAAATAAGGCCAGCCTTTCTGAAAATGAGGGGGCCACATGGAGCACAATGCCAGCTGACCACATCAACTGCCAGCCCTGTGAGTGAGGACATTTTTAGACCATCCAGCTCAGACAAACTGATGACAATACCCAAGCACTGACCTTAGCAAAATCAACAGAAAACCTGCTCACTGTCAAGACTGTGGAGGATCTGATATTTTTTATTTACAGGCTAACAAGTTGGGCTCTCCCACTTTCAAGGACATTAGCAGACGACACGCGATTCCTGGATCAGAAAACGAGGGCTCTATTACTCATGGCACAGTATGAGTCGCATTTCATCTTTGCGTCAGGTCCCTCTTACCCCTCCACTCCATGGGGGCAACACAGGGTGGCCTGTGTTTGTGTTACAACCTAGGAACTCTGAACTCAAGGAATCCCACCTTTTATAATGGGCTGCAAGGAAACCTGCTCAATCTCTGACCCAAGGGGACACGTTATCTTTCCTTATCCTGGACCATGAACAAACCTGTTCTCTGCACTAGACGGAGACATCATCCCTACCTCCTGAGACTGCTTGCTACATAAACATCCTTGAAAAGATAGTTGAGAACAAAGGCTGGCAGTTCCTCTGTTTGCAAGACATATAATAAATGAGAAATTTTTAAAAAAATTAGTTTATTTATTTGAAAGACAGAGTTACAGAGAGAGGTAGAGACAGAGAGAGGTCTTCCATCCACTAGTTCACTCCCCAGATGGCTGCAATGGCTGGAGCTGAGCTGATCCGAAGCCAGAAGCCAGGAGCTTCTTCCACGTGGTCTCCCACGTGGGTGCAGGGGCCCAAGGACTTGGGCCATCCTCCACTGCTTTCCCAGGCCATAGCAGAGAGCTGGATCAGAAGAGGAGCAGCTGGGGCTAGAACCAGCGCCCATATGGGATGCCGGCACATCAGGCCAGGGCTTTAACCCACTGCACCACAGCACCGGCCCCATAATAAATGAGAAATTTAAAGAGACCCAAGGACATGTGTCTCCCAACATCTGGCTGAGTTACCACTGACAAATAAGATGATTACTTTTTAAGCTACCAAATTGGGGGGGGGGGGTCAATATAAATATAAAATATGAAAGAAGAAATTCCAAAACAC